GGTCGACAAGTGTGAAACATTGCTCGTGTTTTCAGGGTTTTTTTTTTAAGTATTTAAGATGGATTTTGCTGAATTTTTCCTATTCCTTTAACAAAAGTTAATCAATAAATATGCTGGCTTCCTGTTATATAAAGCAGGAAGAAACCAGTTCAACGTTCCTTCCCCACTGTGGCACTCTCTGCCAGTCTGTCCTTTCACAAGAGGTAGTTCTCCCAACAATCAGTATTCTGACACAACAGAAATACAAATATTCTAAAGTGGAGTGGGTTTTTCACCCTCAATGAGAATATTATCTTAAAGAGTAATAGCTAGTTTCTCTTTTTATAGAAAAAAAAAGCATTTTAAAAAAGAAAATGCCCTTAGCCCTGACAAATTTTTCTTTTTAATTTGGAAAAAGGCACCTACTATTTCAATGATATTTTATCCATGTCAAGGAACTGAGAAATGACAGCAACATGCTTAGAAGTTATTTTGCTTCTCTACCCCCAAGCTCCCCAATCACTTGCCATTTTTGACAGGCAGTTTTGACAATAAAACTTGTTTAAATATCAGAAGCATATGGGAGAAGTATGAAAAGAACAAGATGAAAATTTAACATATGAATTTCACATATGAATTTATTTGAAAGAGAGAAGGGAATTGACAACAGGCCACAGGGGAAAATATTAAAAATAACTATACACAGGGGCATTCAAATACTTGACCAGAAAATTTCTTGGACCCAAAATGAAATAGTAATTGAGCTGAAATTCACTGGTATCTTTAGAAGAATTAAAGTGGCTTAAGTTGTAAATTGAAGCAGCAAAAAAAAAAAAAAAAATTCAGTTTTATTTAACACATTGTAAGGCTAATTTATCTTACCCCTGCGAGTAAAGATCTATGAAGAGTTTCACTTAATTGATAAAAGGAATTAGCAAACTATGTGGGGAGTTGGGAAATGGCCTACCATCCTGAAAAATCATTTAAAATTAGACTAGAAAAGCTACTAAACTGTATATGTGTTTTCTGATACCACCATTAAATATATACTTTTTTTAAATTTTATTTTTTCATTTTTTTTTGGTGAGGCAATTGCCCAGAGTCATACAGCTAGTAAGTGTTGTGTCTGAGGCCAGATCTGAACTCAGGTTCTCCTGACTCCAGGGCCAGTGCTCTATCCACTGTACTACCGAGCTGCCCCAGCACATACTCTTAAGGAGGGAAAAAAAAAATCACATCAAAGGTGCCTGACATACAAAAAATCTACAGTAGCTTTTTTAAAAATGGTAACAAAGAACTGGAAGCAAAACAGAGCCTCATCAATTAGGATATGGCTAAATAAATTACAGCATATGAATGTAGTGTGCTCTGCCACTGAAATGTTCATCGTTTCATGTTTATATATGAAAGCTTTAGAGAAATGTGGGAAGACTTGTGTGACCTGATACAGAAAAAAGAACAATTTATGTAATATCCACAACAACTTAAAGGAAAATAATGCAGAAGACGGTAAAACTCTGATCAACACACTGGCCAGTCTGGAATCTAGAGGAACGACAGTGAAACGGCACCCATGACAACCCCTTCTAGCTGGCATCATAGGCCTCTCCTGCAAAGTAAGGCATACATGGATGGGCAGGTCTGATCACGGCTGGTTAGTTTTAGTTAGCTGTGCTTTCTTTTTCTTTTTAAACACTAGTGAGGATTTGGGGCAAAGTCACAAAATGATGAGGATGATGATGATGGTGATGAAAAAGTCTTTTTTTTTAAAAGAACATTGGTCTTAAAATTTAAAAACATACACATAATATGGATATTGGCCATCAATCTCTGTTATTGTGGCCTTGGGCAAAACAGTTGAACCTCTCTAAAGTTCAGTTTGCTCACCTTTAACATGGAGAAGGAAAGAAGAGAGAAAAAGGAAGATGGAAAGTGATATCTTAATCGTCAACCCAATGTTTTGAATTGTAATGTGAATGGACTGATTCTGCTCAGAGGATGAATCAGTTACAAATAAGTTATGATTACAATCATAAGCAAATTCCTTTTGCAGAGACAAATCTGTTACATGAACCAAAGTGAAGTGCACTAGTATTAAACATTTATATAATCATACCTTGCAGATAAGCCAGACAGAGCTTTCTTAAGCACTTCGGGAGTTCTGTCTGAGGATGGTGGAACTTCTGGAATGTCAGAATCAGTTCTGGAATCCAAATCTCCATATTTATCATCAATATCAGTTTCCTAAAAGGAAAAAAAATTAAGTACATATTAGAAAATTGGAAAAATTGGAACTACAAAAAGGAGCTGACGTTCAGTTACTTACATAACCTTAACAAAAAGAATAGCTATAAATTATCTTAACTAGAAAGTAGTTATGTTATGAAAATTTGATTAGCACCCACAAGATGGAGGACTAGACATTTTCTCCAATATTAATGTCCTTTTAAATATCTCCAAAGTAAAATTATATGCAAGAAGTAAGGCAATTACAGTGTCTTCATGGTCGAAGAAGACACCAAGAAACCTAGTTTGGTAAGTACCCAATGAACTAACAGCAGATAAGGTTAATCCCACATCTCAAATACATTCCATTTCTTCAGCACCCCATCTCCCATGTTCTGGCAGGACTATACAAACCAAACCAAAGATGTGCAACAGAACTCAATTCTTCCCTGCACCCCTCAATCCTGTACAGCAAAGGTAGAAAAAATATAACATAACATAGTAGAAGCTTCCTCTGCATGGAACAGCAGTTTGTACCTCCAAAAAAAAAAAAAGAATCTACAGATTATCTTCAGAAAAAAGCATATACTGTAGCTCCAAGCTACATAGTGGTTATTAATACTTAACAATTCCAATGACAACAAAAAAGGTTGCAATCTACCAGGAGAAAGACCTTCAAATATAAAGGAAATTTGAATAGTACAAGATTATTTTGCCCCTACCAGAAATTGTAGAAGATAATGGAATATGTTCTGAGGAGAGGAGCTCAAGATGAAATTCAAGATGATACACCTAACAAACCTAAATCTACTTATCAATGAAAAAAGATGTTCTATAAAAGAGAAGTATTTGAAGCATTGCTATAAATCACACCAGACACAAGAGAATTATTTGCTTTGTAATCACCCAAGAAATACAAGTAAGGCACAAGCAAAATTAAATTGTCCCGGGGTGGGGGAGAATGGAAAGAAAAGACAGACTCATGCTGTTAAAAACCCACCACCAACAAAATAACAAGAGATTTCGTTCTAAAAGTATACAAGGAGAAAAAGAAAAAAGCAGACTTAAATGGAAGAACCAATGGTGGCAGAAAGGGTTTTTTGAAACTTCACAAATTAAAATACCTCACAACATGTACCTACAAGTGAATCTTAAGGTTTTTCTAAAACTAAACTGAAGAATGAGAAAGGAGGAAGTTACACAGTGTTGTAAGTGAAATGAGGTAAACTGGGGAAACAAAGTCCAAGAAATGCTATTTATTGGCAAGGAATGAGGTTGCAAAACAAATCAGTTCCAAGACTCCTCAACAGTCACAAGGACCCTGAAGAGAGATTCACAAAGGTTTTTGTAGTAAAGTACAGGTACTATTTTTAGATTTTAGGACATTCCAGGGCTTAGTGATGCTAATTGGTTAAATCCACTTGCATCTGGCAAGCAAGCCAGTTAGAGATACAACAACAACTGATTTCCTTAAAATGACATGATTTATGGAAACAACTAAAATTATCTCAGGGACATAAAACTTTAGCAATTATATAAAATGTCAGTCATGATACAAAATGGAATCAATTTCATTCTCTCAATGGGACAGTGGGATGCACCCTAATCAAATCAAAAGTAAGTGAAGAGAAAATAATTTCTGTAATAGCTCAGGAAGAAGAGAATTTATAGGAGGATAGGATAAAATGGAGAGATCAAAACAGAGAAAAAGAAAGGAGGAAAAAAAATTGGTAATGGGAGAGGGTCCCACTGAGGAAAATTCCCATGGAGCAAAAGAGATAGTCTATAATGGGGAAAAAAGGGACCATTCTCTGGGAGAATGTTATGCCTTCATGACAGCATCCTGTCTCAAGGAATTAAGAGTTTCGGGGGGCAACCAACAAGTAGAAGGGTGGGAAGGCATGAACCCAACATAGAGATTTCATAGCAAAAGGGGAAAAAATAATCATGGGAGGTACAGGCAGTAATAATGAACTGTACAATTAGGTACATCGGAAAATTTCTGTAGTGAGACAATGCCTGAAAAAACGGGAGAGGCAAGAGCTACAAAGCAATAATAGACATTGTTTAGAAGAGGGAACTCAAAGTGGGCACCTTAGAAGCTTTATTTCAATAAGGAATGAGAAGACTAAAGAAGGAATAAAAATAAAAACCATGAATCAAAGAGTACAAGTCTAGAAAAGACAGGAGAAGAGAAATAATAATGAGAACGAGGGAAAAAATATTTTTGGAAAAAAGTACAAAAAATGAAAAGGAAAACTAATAAAAAGAGAGGAAGGGAGATTTTACTTGGCTAGTCAACTAGGAGATGAAAAAAGGGGAAGAATTAGATAACTACATAAAAGAAAGGAAAGGAAAAATAAGCAAAATTTCAAAATTAGGAAAATGAATGACACATAGGAGTGGGGGGTGGGGGTTAGGATAAGAGAAAGAGAGTCAGTAGGGTACAAGGTTACCTTACAGTAGATTAAGTAAAAATAACTGAAGAGGAAAAGTACCGTCTTTACAAAGGAGAAGAAACAATGAAAAATCCTAATTCAGGAAGAAAGGTTAAAGACAAATGGAGGAAAATGTAATCCTAACTTTTATAACTCTAAATATGAATAGATTTAACAATTTAATAAAACAAAAAAGAGGAACACTGTGGTTACAAAAACAATGCCACAATCTGTTGCTTACAATATCCACAACTAAAAGGCAAAGACATATAAAGAATAAAAATGGAAAGAAAAATTATTAAGCATCAGGTAAATCTTAAAAAAGTAGATCTTATAATCATGTTATCAGACAAAGTAGAAACAAAGATTATAAACAAAGAAACGACATTATGCTGAAAAGGACTGACAACAATATTAGCATCTAAATTTATAAAGGGGAAATGAACAGAATTACAAGGAGACAGAGACAGAAATACAATAGTGGGAGGAGATTTTAATATTCCTTTCTGAGTTTTCAATAAATCAAAAAGAAAAATAAAAGGGAAAGTGAATTGAACAAATTGCTGGAGAAACTAAAGCTAAGACTTGTGGCATTTTTAAAATGGCTCTGATAAAGAATATGCATATTTCTCAGCACCATATGAAACACTTAAAAATGGACCATTTATGATGCACAGAAACAGTACAAATAAATGTTAAAAGGCAGCAAAGTAACAAAACATAGATTGCTTTGGTGCTGGCCTTTATCAGTTCACACCTGCATTACTGCAATAGCCTGGCCATTGGCTGACACTGCCCACGCAAATCCTTCCTCCATTCAGTCACCAAAGTTATTTTTCTAGAGAACAGGTGTGATCATGACTCACACACAAACGCACGCACACACACACACACACACACACACACACACACACACAGACACACACACATCCCTTCAATATTGCTATTGGCTCCAGGATCAAATACAAAAACTCTTTTGCATCCAAAATTTTTCATAACTTATGCTACTCCCATCTTTCCATTCTTCTTATATGTTACTCTCCACCACCTATTCTTCCATCCAATGATGCTGGTCTACTGGCTGCTCCAGAAACAACACCCTCCATCTCTCTTCTCTAGGCATTTTCCCTGGCTGTTCCCCACGTCAGGAACACTCTCCTTCCTCATCTCTGCCTCTTGGCCTCCTTTAAGTCCCAACTAAAATCTCATGTTCCAAAGGAAGCCTTTCCCCAATCCCCTAAATCTAGGGCCTTCCCTCTCTTTATTATTTCACATTTATTCTGCATAGAGCTTGTTTGTACATATTTGTTTACCTACTGTCTCCCCCTTTAGATTTTGAGCTCCTTGAGAGCAGAGACCATCTTTTGCCTGTTTTTTGTACCCCCGGAAATTAGTGCAGTACCTTGCATATAGTAGGTGCTTAATAAATATTTACTGACAGAAATGGAGTCTCAAAAATGAAATTCTAAATGAGGTCAATGGAGAAATCAAAACAATAATTATGTGGAAGTGAATGATGATGATAAAACATACCAAAATTTCTGTGAAACAGCTAAAATAGTCCTTTGAAGGAAAATTATATCCCTATAAACATATACCAACAAACAGAAAAGAATTAATGAACTGAGTATGCATTTTAAAAAATTAGAAATGCAATAAACAAACCTAATTTAAGCATAAAAGGACTATTAAAATTTAGAGGAAAGAGATAAACTGGAAAATAAAAAGAATCTATAAAAATTATTAACAAACTAAAAGCTGGTTCTGCGAAGATTAACAAAATGGATAAACCTTCAACCAACTTGATTTTAAAAAGCAAAAAAATCCAACTAACAAAATAGGAAATGGACAAAGTTGAAATCACAAAACCTGAAACGTTAAAAAAAATTAGAATTTTTATGCACAGTTACACATGAACAAAACTGAAAACACAAGTGAAACAGAGAAACGCCTTCAAAAACTAAAAAAGAGACCAAATAGAGAGTTTAAATAATTCTATCTAAGGAAAAAGAATGAGTTGTAAAGGGACTGGAGGCAGCTAGATGACTCAGTAGATAATGCACTAGGCCTAGAGTCAGGAAGACCTAAGTTCAAATCTAAGACCTGACAGTTCAAATTCAGCCTCAGACACTTAACTAGCTGTGTGACCCTGGGCAATTCACTTAACCTGAACTGACTGACCTAACAACAACATAAAGAGACTACCAAGTGAAAAATGTTCCTGGTCCTGATGGATTCATAGCAGAGTTCAATCATCTCACACTACATTATTACATTAATCAATGTAGGAAAAGCCTCTGTCAAAGTACAACATTCATTTATGCTACACAAACCAAAAAAAAAAAAACCAAAAACCAACTTACAAAGCACAGGCACAGGGAGACCTTTAAAAAAAAAAATCTCATAAGTATCTACCTAAAATCAAAAGCAATGAGTCAAGCAAGAATGCCCACTCTTCCTACTATTACTTGATACAGTTTTAGAAATGCTAACAATAACAATAAGACAAAAGAAAAAAATTAAAGGTGTCCACTCTTTCATCTCATCCCTTTCCAGGCTCTACTCTATTCTGCCAAGACT